GAACTACCGATATCAGAGTAGCCGGCCGGTAGAATTATTCTACAGATAGTGGCAGAATTCATCCTAGCTCTCTAGATAGGGTTGTAAATCCGCTGATTTCAGGACTCGAACTCTAGGACATCCTGATCAGAAAGGCTGCAGTGGCAACAGTCATTGTCACAGACATATCACATGGCCACAAAATTAAAGTTAAATTAGTTTACTCGATAATAATTAACCAAATATTAACGAAATGAGAACTTACCTCGTAGCTCGACAGTATGTCTGTCACATTATTTACTTTAGTACTTATTAGGTCTCAATTTCTTAGACAGAAATGTAAACAAATCATTACGAACTAGTTTCTGTCACTTTTCGCATAGAATTTTAATATTTTCCCCCGTGGATCAAATATTATATAAAACGTACCTCTCACATTTCTCTGATGAAGTTCCAATCTACTGTTTCTTGTTTTGTGCTTACACTTGTATAATCGAGCAAATCTGACTTTGCATGGTGTCATCGGACAGAACAAGCAAAGTTCGTATGTAGAAGAATTTGTTCTGGACACAAAAATTGTCATGAACAATTATCACATAAAGTCATGAACAATTATTAGTAAACAGTTAAAATCGTCACCAAAAATAACATGTCACAAACGTAATGGTGTTTCATATTATGACAGAAGCAATCACACTTTTACAAACCATTGAGAAGGGGTTAAATGATGTTCTTTTACAAGCAACAAATGTGCCGATTGAGACACTAACTTTCTGTAAAACTGGTGACTTTTTATTCCATTGCCCAGTTTTTACGAAATCGATTTAATAATATACTTATGGTTCGCTAATTTTATATTATTTGTAATAGTATTTTTATATTTACTGTAATTGTTTTATATTTTGTTTCTTATCTGTCTCTGTCGAGGGCTTGTGTGCATTTACTATTTGTATTTCTACCTTTTTCGTATATAAAGCTGCCAAAGATCTTTTATTGTATAAAGTATTCAATCTGAATAGTTTAAAATTACTCTATCAAATTTTACTGTTAATTGAAGAAGTTAAGTTCATGGCAGATTCGGAATTTCGAATACTGGGAATTCCTGCATTATAAGAAAGACATTTGATATCTTCCATTCTTCTGAGAACCAGTATTACAAATAAATATACGCGTGAATGACAATTCGTCATTCATAGAAAAACCATTCAATTTCGTTCATGGTGAGCACCCTCGGAGACGCTCAATGTAACAACTCTCTAACTAATAAGAGACGTTGTCTCAGACCTACCCTGTCACACGGTTTTGCTACAATTTTTACGTTGTAGATGGTTTCCTTTCGCTATTGCCATATAAGACTTTTCACAAATCAAAAGTTATTAGATAAAATATGCGCAAAAATAATCTAAAACTGACAAAAATAAATAATTATTTATCATTAAAAATAATTAAAGTTTGAAGCAATATAATAATTCTTGAATCACGTCTTTATAGGATTCACTTCTTTCTCTGTTCTAAAGGGTCTCAAACGTAAAGCATAACATCTATTTAGCTGGATATTATTCATGATTCTTGGCTTGTCTAAGTATAAGTATTAATAATAATAATAATAATAATAATAATAATAATTTACAATAAAAACCGACCGAAAATGTAAATTACAGTTCAAATGCGTCCTTGAGCTAATATCGCGTACTTGCAGTAAAGCCGGTATATTTCGCCCTGCATTGATTAATACTTTTATATCAGTAACTAGTGGTCGCGGCAATGCTTCACTATTGCAATGCATTACACTTCACATGCTACTAGTCATGTGATTGTTAATCACGTTTTACGTTACGCTCTGCATCAATTTCAATAGACGAAAGACTCTCAAGAGTGTGGTTGCGTCTCACTCTCTCTGTGTCTTCCCATACGTATATATACATATATATACATATATATACATATATATATATATATATATAATACTTATACATACTATACTACATATATACATATACCTATATATACCCATATATATACATATATACATCTATTATATGTACTACCCTACTATACTCATCTATATATAAACTATACTATATACCACTATATATACCTACATATATATACTCTACCATTATATATACATACATATATACACTATATACCATCATACTACATATATACATACCTATACTACCTGCTATACTATACCTCACATATATATATATATAGCTACTATACTATACATCATATACTAACTACCATATATATATATACATATATATATATATACATATATACATATATATATGTATATATATATATATATATATATATAAATGAAATGTTAGTTTCTATGTTTAATCGTGCTTAATGCGCTGCCGTGCCGTTCATCTGATTGCAATAAAACTTCGTCAACGCATTGCTTGCACTTCAGAGAAGCATATAGGCATAATACAATGGGATCTACGCATCCCGCCGCACACTAATGTACGATTATTTAGACTCTTGCGTATTCTGCCCCTGCGATTGTCAAATTTCTCTTGGGAGAGACAGAGGAAGACAAAGACGCGGAGAGAGAAGCAAACGGAAACAAAGAGAGAGAGAGATTGTCTCTACCTCCACCTCCACCTCTCTCTCTCTCTCTCTCTCTCTCTCTCTCTCTCTCGTGTGTGTGTGTGTGTATGTTTCCGTTTGCTTCTCTCTCCGCGTCTCTGTCTTCCTCTGTCTCTCCCAAGAGAAATTTAACAATCGCAGGGGCAGAATACGCAAGAGTCTAAATAATCGTACTTTAGTGTGCGGCGGGATGCGTAGAGCCCATTGTATTATGCCTATATGCTTCTCTGAAGTGCAAGCAATGCGTTGACAAAGTTTTATTGCAATCAGATGAACGGCACGGCAGCGCATTAAGCACGATTAAACATAGAAACAAACATTTCATTTTATATAGTAACTTGCCGGGACGTTCATTGGATGCAGGATTGCATGCTCAATAAAACATACAAAATTAATTTCACATCATATTTAATTTAACTTTAAAATTATGGTGATGAGCAAGCAAATGAATTAATTTAAAAAATTACTACAATGTATGTTTTTAGATATTGCGGATTACTAGTTTCATTGGCGAGATTACAACAATAACAACAACAACAAAAGTAATTAATTTTGCTGCTACAAATAGTATGCGGTTTCGGTGGCATCTAGTCTCTTAGCTTCCTTTGTTGAGCAGTCTCCGCCTTTCACATGGGAGAGTTGAGATGACAGGGACCTGATTAAGGGCCATTCACAAAAATCCTACTATGCAGTGGCGTGGTGAGTTTCTTCCCGAACCGCCAGCTGTTCCGGCCTTTCTCCGGGCAGGAAGGTCGTCCGGCAGGGTAGGCAGGCCGGCTCGGCGTCTCGAAATGGCGGCGTGCACCCCGATGGCATGTAACAGGGTTCGTTCGGCGTTCCCACGCCCTCATGGCTCACAACTCAGAGCAGGCTCGCCAACTAGTTCCTTCCGCCGTGCACTTCAGAATCGAATCAGGTGTTCATTGTTCATTCTAATCATCCTAAATTTTTCTGCTGTTTCTTTTAATCATTCTCAATTTTCGCAACACTTAGTAAAATACACCGGAATAGTAGTGTTCCGTGAGCAGCTTTACGTAATTTATGCAATTTCAATAACTGTCTTTCAATTAGGGAATTACGAAAGAATAAATTTTATGACAAGAAACAGCACATTCGTTTCTTTCCTTTACCGTCGCCTATGAAAATTGAATTAGAAAATTTGGATATCTTCCTGACGTCACTGATTCCACGACGGACAACCCAACGACAAGTGCCCCTCACGACAGTCAAAAAAAAAGTCAGTTTGTGAAGCCAGTAGAGAATCTCCTCCACCTCTGTTCTCCCCACACTTTCGTTCCAGAAAGTTCTAGATCGCTTTGAAATCTAATTAACACGCCTAGCGATTGGCTTAAGCTAACTGCTACGCCGCACATGAACCTCGGCAAATCCTAGAAGGTGCCTTTGGGGTTCCTTCTGGAAAATTCTATTATCTCCATCCTTGTTCCTCACACTGTTTATAAAATGCACGAGGCTTCTCTGTGTACGTTATCGTCGTCGGTGGCCCAAAACGTTCCATTACTGTTAGTTAATCA